TCACCACCTCAACGCTTGAATTTGCAACATGAGATGAAGTAGAAGCAACTCTGGTGTATGAAAAACTTGATAAACATTGTACCCTCTGCTACATGCTAGACCATGACATAAAAAACTGCCCTGAAGGAGCTCCAACTATCCTTCCTCATGCGGGTGATGTCCTCAAGAAAACACAACCAAGCCTTAGCAGAGAGCTTGCAAAGCTGAGGGAGAATCAAAACTCAAGGAACTATCAGATACAGAGAACCCCAGTCCCCTCTAACCATATTGTCTCTTCACTACAAGGAAGAAGAGCGTTCTCAGACACCCAGCATCAGCCAAGAGAAAACACCGGCAGGTATTCACACAATCCAAGTCTATCCAGAACCTCTAACTCATACAACTCTTCTTAGTCCAGAAACTCACACATGTCAAAAGAAGTGAACCTAGACCTCCACACCAACCAATTTGGGTTGAAAGAAGAAGAAGAGAACTCCGAATAGCTCTTCTCTCCTCCCAAGGGAGATCTGACTCTTCTAGATCTAGAAGGCCCCCACTTGAAAGAGAAAGCTCACAACCTATGACCACAGAGCAGCTGCCACCCGAAGCTCTACAAGTGGCCATAGGAGAACTAAGGGATGTAATGGTTCAGTATGCTAGTTGTGCTGATCCCACAGAGAGTGCAACCCGTAAAGAAAGAACTAGACAAGTAGATCTTGAAGGTGATTTTGAAGAAGCGGCAATCCACATGGTCAGGTCCTCTCTAGAACAAGCTGAAATAGAGAGACAATCCAATCAATCACAAGAAAAGATCCCGGCAAGGTTAAGATTGGGGCCAACAATTGAACCAAACCAAACATTTACAGAGCCCATACCCACTCTACCTAACCTACCAAGCAAAAAGAAACCTGGAAGACCTACAGGCAGAGCTACCCTAACAGGTATGGGTGGTAAAAAAAGAAAAGTCCTCGGCGTCCAACCTTCACCAAGGAAAAGACCAAGCAGACCTGTCGGCAACCAAGACTCAGCTATTGGAAAAAAGAATATTGAAAAAGCTGAAGCTAGTAGAGCAACGAAAGCAAGTACCTCCAAAACCTCCAGAGGCTCAAAATTGGCCCCTAAACTAGGCCAG